AATTAAGTGTTGAACCTGTGGTGCTGGACCCTGCCCTGCACAACACTGTGCTGCCTCTGCACGGGCAGTCTGACCAGAATAAGGTACAACTGCTTGATCACTCACTGAGGTAGGCCATGGAATACCCTACATACTCAATGAATCGTATTGTAAGAGTTCAGCATTTGCAATAATGAGACCAGCGTGCAGACACTTAAGGTGACTTGCAGCAGCCCAGGTAAAAGAGAACAGGATGCATCAAAGAAAGAGATAGTGTAACTGTCAGTTCAACTGTTGCTGCTGTGTGGACCGAGCTAGCTTTTTGATAGCTGTGCACAGGGGGAGTAGGGTGGGAGAAAGATGAGGATAATTTACCAGGCAAAAAACATGAAGTGCATTATCATGCTTAAGTGATTAATTTAAAAAACAACCCTTCTGGATTTCAGCACATGACGCATATAAAACAATTAATCTGAGCTAGATGGACAGATTATTTTTAGTTAATTGGCTTGTTTTGTTAGAATTCTGACTTTGTGGTGGCTTTTTCTTCTAGGTAAGAACTCTCTCTGGTGTGATCCTGGCTCATAGGTACTGACTGCTAGGTTTTATGATCCAGCATAGAGACTGAAGACTTTTGAACCACTTTCACTTTGAGATAGTGTTTTTTGGTGGTGGTGGTGTAGTTTTTTTTTTTTTTTTTTTTTTTTTCTGGTAGGTTGTTGATTATCATAAATCAAGATGATTTCTAATGCAGTAGCTTTCATTTTCCACTCAGGATCACTATCAGCCTTTTCTAAACAAACTTTATTCACTGCAGAAAAAACTTGCACACAGGATGATAGGAAGAAAGACAAACACTGCTTACATTTTAGGTACAGACTAAAAGCCTCTGCAAGGTCTAATTTTCATGATAGCAAGAACAGTCAATCCTCTTCTTGCGGTATTGCATCACTATACAGAGGCTACTTTGTCAATAGTTCTCATGTTAGGGCTGATAGAATTTGATAGGCTATGGATTTTGGAGAGAAAATACTGCTGACCAAAGGTACAGTGTTTGACTCCAAAAGACCTGAATAGAATATAACAGAATGAGGCACAGAAGCAGAGAACTGTCGTTAACTGCTAGCCAGCTCCTGTTTGCGTGGGCACCCATTCCTATGGAGAAAAAATACTAATATCCTTCAACTCCAGACATGACTTAATATCGTAAGGCATGCACCATCTAATTGTACCTTTCAAAGCCAGAATGATCACTCATGCTCTCATAGACCCCAAGAAAAAGCCACAGCCACCCTGAAACTTCCATCCACAGCTGGTCTGGCTCTGGACTGTAGCATGGACCACGGAACATGGGCATAGAGAGCATAATATATCAGAAAGTTTGCGATCTCTGGCTGTGCAGGAGAAGCAATGACTCAGTGCTGCCCATTAAGAGAAGAATCATCCAGGTCGATCCATTTACATTCATCATTATTACCCTTCTTAACAGGGCTTCATTTTTAGTGCTGCTGGCAGTGATGTGACCCTCTCACTTCTTTTATTAGAGGTACACAGAGTTTGTTCTCCATGTTGTCCATGAAGCTAAAACAGATTTTCCTCTTCATCCACCAAATGCAAAGAGCGGAGAGCAAATGTCTTGAACTGTCCTTCAAAAAACCCCTTTGCTGGTTTTTACTTAAATGCTCAACTTGCACTCAACAGGCGCTTTGTCTTCTCGTCTGTGGTTTAGGTATTTTTCAATTTAAGAACAGCACTGCTACAAAGAACTAATGAAGGACCAATCAATTGCGAGACAGCAGAAAGTTCATGTCAGGTTCACACAGGCGTACTTCTTACCCTTCTGACTGTTGCAGACTTTCCTGCTCAGTAAAAAGCTCACGAGAATCTTGGCACTGCAGCCTCAGAAAGGAGGAGTGAAAGATCTTTTTTCCATTTGGTCAGTACAGTGTCACACACAACTCAGATAAAAGAGGTGACTGCCCAGCTATTGACCTTTGCTTAAATTATTATTATTATTTACTTGAATACAGCTAAGAGAGGAATATATGAAACCTACCAGAGCTGAACTGCAGTAAGAAGAGGAAAGGTACGTTTTTGCCTAACTGCCCTGAAGCACATGCACAGAAAACATACTATGAGATGAAGTAACACGAAAATATTGTCATGCCTGCCACTGCAGTGAGAACTCCAAAAGCTGGAACTGGAATGAGAGGATGTCCAATTTTAGGAAGCTACTCCTTGAATATAGTTGAAGCTATCTTTCACTCCAGTGTGCGATTCATTCAGTAGATTAGATGGAGACTGCATGGGTCAAAGAGTTCCAGTTTCATCCCCTTATGTTGTAGGTTAAAAAACTGCAAGCTGCAGTGGGGAAGATGGATTACTGAACACAAAACTGCAAGCAACAGAAAAGTAACACCACATATGTGCTTGACCTCAGCACTGCTGCCTGCAAGTTGTTCTGAAACCAACAAAAACATTTCAGTGGCTGGAAAAGATGAAGAGGCCTGGTTGCCAAGTCATGGCCCAAACTATTCCAAGGGGTAGAAGAGACAGCTGGACTGCTGCTAAAGAACAAGGCTATTTAGAGAAACTCATTCTGGCCTATTGGAAAATGCAAGGATATAATTACCAATTATTTTAAAATAAAACAAAATTTCAGATGCAGGAAAAAAAAAAAACAAACAAAAAACACAACACTTTATAAGGAAGCAACAGAGAGAAACTGGTTAGATTCAGCTGGCAGCTCAGTACAGGTACAAAAAGAGCAGAATGTGCTGCTCTTTGGAAGCAAGAAAATGAGATATTATCCACAAGATGGTGATTCTAGACAGTGCCTCAACCTACAAAGCAGTGCTTCAACCCACAGACATCTAAATGCAGCTGCAGTGTCCTTCCAAGCGCTGATGCTGAGCTTATCTGATCACAGGGACTTGGGTTATCACAAGGCAGCCACAACAGTGGTCAGTGGAACAAAGTTAAAGAAATTGTTTTTAAATATATGGCCATGTGTTTGTATCTCCAAGTCATGTTGGTGATCTGCTTTGTCTTTCAGCCCTTTGGGCAGCTGCATGTAGTGTACTGCACAATATTTCATATTAAGAGTTGCTATGCAGAATCCTGGCTGTCACCCAAAATGCATGTTACCGTGCAAACACACAAAACCAAATAAACAACACTCCTAGAAACTGTGAGATGGGTTAAATGCACAAATGTCGAGGGGGACTTGAAGTCTCCTACAGAGCTAAAGCGCTTGAGACCATCAAGTGCAGCTTTGTCTGCTGCTTCTGTTGAAAAACAAAATAAACCAACCAACCAACCAAACAAAAAACAAACACAAAAACACACTGGTGCTTCACTTATCACTGATCTTTTACTATTGCCTTAGTGATTGTTGACCTCTTCAGGTTTCTGACTGACTGCCCCATTGGTTGTTAAAAATTCATAACAGCATTTAATGTAATTTGTAAGGAGGGAGGGGAGCATATATATATATTTTTAAGAGAGATGCTCCATTCAGAGGACACTGCCTATGATAAAAAAGGGCCAAAACCTTGTCTTAGAGTTCAGCCAAAAGTACAATTTACAAGAATTCTCAACATATTTGTCCTGTTCCTTAGCACTTCCTCTGCTAGCAGTTACATGTTACAGCATTCAGCACTATAAATATATGTAATAATCAGCCCAATAGTTGAATGTCACAATATACGACTAAACTTGTACAAGAACATTCCTCAGGACTTCCCAAAGTGAACAACTCTGAATAGCTTTTGTAATTCTTATTCAGGACTGAAGCATATTAAATCTTTCAAAGATTTAAATAAACATGCACCAAAGAATATCTTGTTTATACAGCATTACAGTCTGCACTGCAAAGCTGTGAAATGACTATGGTATTTATTCACATGACAGGATTTACTACTTTCTGGCTTCTAACAGACCAACAGTAATTGAATTTGAAGGCCAGAACATCCCTCAATCTTGTTGAATATCCTGTGTCAAACCTAAGTAGATGAGGCAGGGAAGAGTTTCAGCACAGATAATTCAGCAGGTATAAGCTGGATATGGAAATAAAGGTGGTCCCATGTTCTGCCAATGTAGCAGCTCAGATGTAAGAGGAAAAGTAAATCATATTTCCTTGTCTCTCTGCATCAGAGGAGATGCTACAGGGCATTTTGCAGCATCCCTCAGGACCCAGTCAGATTTACATCTGAATGGTCTTATTCAGTCTCTTAAGCTCCCAGAGAAACATTGCTGGACATAACACTTGACCCATCTATTCCCTCAGTACTGTACAGTCAGATCTATGCCTCTGGCCCTGTTGCATATGTCAAAGAAGCTTTGGTTTAGGACTTTGGTGTAACAGAGTCAAGGTCTCCATTAAGACAATGGGGGTATTTAAAGTAACTGCACAGCCCAGTCAATATTCCTGTGATGGGTAACTGACTGCTAGGACATTCTGAGTAAAATTCCATTCTTGTTCGCCCTGCCAGGGTGGCTTGATGGCCAAGACAGGACTGGGTATTCATTCACACATGGCATTTATAGATGGCAAAAATGATTGTACCGATTGGATTTTATTGGCTGAGTCTATATCAAGGAGTGAAATATTAATAGAGGGAAAAAAATCTGACCCTTCTTGCATAAAGACAAGTTGCAACTACCAATAGACGGAGAAATGCAGTTGCTGGCAGTCCTAGACAGCTGCTATTTCAGGACTTCTATAGACGCATACCAGGCTGTTTCCCAAAACCCAACTGCAAATCCCACAATTCACTTAGGATATGTAGGAATTGAATCAAGCGTGAAAGAAGAGTTCAGTTAGGCCTAAAGAAATCGATGCCAAGCAGAGAAAGGATGAAAGCCACCACCCACGTGGCACACGGCACCAGAATACCCATTTTGTGCAGTTCAGCTCACGTATTGTTGGCCTTCATATAATTCAACGCATGAGGTATGTCATGTGCCCTGGGATGAAACCAAGGCTAATGGCTATTGCCATCACAGGCACTTAAACTTACCAATGAAGAAATACTCTGGAGGCTTTTTGTCTGAAGCAAACTCTGCCATAACCCCACCAAACCGCAGCCATAGACCAAAGGCAATGACAGCCAATCCTGCCAGCTGAAAAATACATAGAATAGTCAATACTTTAATAACAAATGTCTGGAGAACATCAAAGAAGTGTCGTCAAAGAAGTGTCTATAGCAAATCCCACAGCTCAGAGTTGCACTGTCAGAAAATTCAGGAAGCTCATGCTAGTATTTGATAACCATGAATTCGGTACAATGTACTTCTTTCATTCTTTTGGCTTCTCAGTATAGTGGTGCTTATGAATTTACTAGTGACTTTCAAACCTTTTTGAGTAAGCTCTTTTAAGTTATCAAAATGTGGCCTGAATCACAATGGGCAAAGGATTGGGGCAGGGAGGGGCGAGGGTGGTGAGGGAGTCAGTGCCCATGAGAACAGACAGGATGCAAATCCAATGGCAACACTGCCCTCCTTCCTACCAGAAGACCCAGAACTGCACTGTAGCCCTACCATATGCAGGAGGCTACTCAGAGACTCTGCCTGGAGTCAAGATGCTGTTACTGTAGGAGAAACACTATCCGGAGGGGTGCTGCCAGACCAGGAGTTGAGTAGCACTGGCATGACTCAAACCAAACTTATAGATGGAAATAACTTCATTTGTTTTTTTTTCAGCCCTCTAATCTGTTTTAGGGCTAAGTAACAGCCTGTTGGGCTAAGAGGTGCCCTCTTCCCTTGTATGAATCTCAGGTCCAGCTCCAGAGTCACAAGGTACATGATGGTATGAAGAGACCAGCTGGACGTCAGTCATACCAGACTACAGAAGAGCTTTAGGCCATTTCAGAATTGCTCCTGCTGCTGAATCGTGAGAATGGTTCTGTTTAGAGGCTTACCAGAAATAAAGGCTTATATTGTTCTTAGGGATGTGCTGAAGTGAAGTGTCTTTGGACTGATTCTGACAGGGCATTTTTCCTATATATTGGACTCCCTGTCAGAACTAGGAAATTAAATGATTATTACAGTTCACAATATCTTTAATCACAGAAATGATTAACAAAGAAGCATTGGGTACTGTCAAATTCAAGGAAAAAAATCCTTCTAATGCAACTGGCTAGATAAAAATGACATGTCAGATGAGGGAAAACAGCTATAGACAGTGATCCCAGACCAACAGCATGCCGGACATTTATAAACCTGCCAGGCAATGGTGAGTGTGCTGGCAGTTTTAGCATCCATCAGGACCAAGCACAACGCTGTGCAGAGTGTCCAAAGGAGGGCAACAAAGATGGTGAAAGGTCTGGAAGGGAAGATGTATGCAGAGTGGTCAGGGCTGCTTGGTTTGTTCAGCTTACAGAAGAGAAGACTGAGTGGTGCCAGGTCACAAGGGAGAGCAGAGGGGCAGGCACTGATCTCTTCCCTCCGGTGACAGCAACAGGTCCCAAGAGAACAGCATGGAGCTGCCACAAGGGAAGGTCTGGCTGGGTGTTAGGAAAAGGTTCTTCACTGAGAGGGTGGTCGGGCACTGGAACAGGCTGCCCAGGACAGTGGTCACAGCACTGAGCCTGCCAGAGTTCAAGAAGCATTTGGACAGTGCTCTCAGACATAGGGTTTGAGTTTTGGGTGGTCCTGTGTGGAGTCAGGAGTTGAACTCGATGATGGGTCCCTTCCAACTTCGGATATTCTTTGATTTTATGAATGCTTCCTTACTCTACTGATGGAGGCCCAGAGCCCAGGTCTGCAGCAACTGCCCAACCTGAATGAGGTTTATAAAACACGTATTGCTTACCATATCCTTGGTAAATTGGTAGGGTGCTTTTTGAGCCTGTCCTGCATTGTCAGGCACTTGATTCAACTAGCATAGCTACAGCAAGCAAAAAAGGCAGGCAAGCATATGGTTGAAGAGCTTGGGATCGCAATTTCCTTCACAGAAGGTAAAGAACAAGATGTGCTGCATCATAGAGTGTGAGAATCCCCTGCCCCTCTGGTCATGGCATTTGTACCTGCCCTGCTTGCAGGCTTGGGCTCAGGCTGTGGACTGCTAGGCAGCAGCATGAGCCCCCTCTTTCTAAGTGATTCTGGTACTTTGGATGTGTTTGAAAGGAACGCCCCCAGTCCAGATGAGAAAATGGTTTCTGCCATTTCAGTGAAAAGACCTAACAAAACACAAGTAATTGTCACTCCTGTGAAACAACATAAGACAAAGCTTTGTCCTTCTTACTGACTTGCAGCTGCAGCTGAGCAACATCATTCTGCTCCCAGAGCTTGAGCACAGCAGCACTGTGTACCCGGAGCATGCAGCGCTGTCACCAAGAGGGAAGAGCGTTTGGTTTAACTGTGTTTAAAGCATAAAGGAGACAAAAGCCCCAAACTGGTTGCCCTAGAGAAGCTGAACAGGATTATTTTGTGACTTTTTTTTTTTTTTTTAACAGAAAGGAAGAAAAAGACATTTAAAAGGCCACATTTCTAATTATTTTCTAATGTGAAACTGAGAAGTTACTGGAAGAGAGTACACAGCATATGGGAAAGTGAAAGAAAAATTAAAGGTAACAAATTAAATTGTGCTGTGGAACTGCGAGCCTATTGAAAAGGTGTTACGGCTGGAGAGTGGGCATAGCGTGCTCTGATCTCTTGGGGGTGTAGCAATAAACACTGTTCTTTACCACATTATGGTCGTACACAGCAAAGTAAGTGCAATACGATGCAAGGACTTTGTCTTCCAGGATGAACTTGTAAAAGTAGCAGCTGTTGGCTCACCATTTGAAATGTTATTATTAAGAAGCATCACAACGCTGCGGAGAAGCGTTGCACCGCGTGTGCTGCATGGGATGCTGGGAGAGCCACTGCGGCCTCCTGCTTGAACAGTTAGGCTTCTTGGGGAGACGGTCGCTACTTTAAATTGTCATTAAGGGAGGATGCTGTCTCTTCTCAGAAGTGCCTTCACACATCACGTATGCGTCTTTCCAGGAAGAGATGCATCTTCACGAAAAAGTCGAGAGCGCCGGCAGGGTGCTGCTGCAGTGTAGCAGCCCGGCTCGCAGCGCTCCTCTGGGGGACTCGCGGACTTCCTCCGGCGCGGGGCAGCCCCGCGGGGCTCTGCGGTGATCCCGACACCGCGGCAGCCCAGCCGGCCGCTGCCCGCTGCCCGCGCTCCGGGGCGCCCGGCCGAGCGCGCCGGGCTGCAGCCTCTCGAGGCGCCGCGATCCGCGCCCCGCCGCCGCCTGCGCCCGGCAGGTGCCGCCGCCCCGCCCCGGCCCGCCCCGGCCCGCCCCGCCGGCCGGCGCTCACCCAGAAGCTCAGGTTGAAGACGAAGAGCAGCACCTTGACGCGGCCCATCTCCTCGCGCGCCGTGCCCATAGCGGGCGCGGCTCCGCTGGCAGCTCCCGCGGCGGCTCGGCCCGGCTGGGCGGTGGCGCCGCGCGAGGCGGGGCCGGGGGCAGGTGCCGGGCCGGGGCCGGGGCCGGGGCTGGGGCGGCCGAAGGCGGGGCCGGGGCCGGGGCCGGAGGAGCGCTCGGGTGGCGGCGGCCTCGGCGGACGGCGGAAGCTCGAGGGCGGCTCTCCGGGCCCGCTGCCGGCAGAGCCGGTGCGAGGGGGCCGGGCGCGGGGCGTGCGGCGGGGCCCGGCCGGCGCGGTGTGGGGCGCGCCGGGGCAGCAGGAGGGCCGGCCGGGGGGGCCTCCCCCTCCGCCTTCCCCTCCGCATGCGCGCGGTTCAATCCCTCTGCCCCCTCGGCGTAGCGCGGACCGCGTGCTCGCGGGGCTGAGAGGCTGATGTGTGAAGTCCACGGACAGCGGGGAAATGGCCGAGCTCCTCTCGATAGTTTTCCCTCACACTCTTCAGCTAAGGTCCCCTAAAGTTCATCTTCCAATCACTAATACTTCCGCTTCTCTTCTCAAAACTTCACCAGAAATGCTGTCTCTGTTGTCAAAATCTTAGATTTTTTTTTTTTTTTTTTTTTCTCTCAGCTGCTATTTTCACTCGAAGTAAGATAGAGTCCCTTGAGAGGTGGGGTTTCTGTGCTGAGCGTTTCCGCTCGGTGTTTAACGAACAGAGCGGCCGTTTCCTGTGCTGTGTTACTGTAACTGGAGTTTTACCTATCCAGTTTTGTGTTTTGGAATTAGTTTTGCTCAAGATGTGTACGGAAACTTCCTAAGCCTTTTTGCACAGATGCTTAGGTTTTGTTATTGTGAATGCAATTGCACTCATCTAGCGGTTCAGTAATACTGGAAGATGTTGAAGATGGTTTCTGTTTTCCCTCACTTTGCTGTTTATATTTGGCTGCTTTAAAGACTGGCAGTTTTTTTTGGAAAACCATCCCAAATAGTTCATTTTCATTGCAACTGCTAAGTTTCAATAGGAATCTCTTGTTTCATTAGCAATGAAATATACTTTTTTGTTGTTTTTAAAGAAATATTCAACCTACTTTAAGCAAACTTCTGCCATTTTCCTTCTTTTATTTGGAGTGATGCTGTGCTAAATGGTACTGACTTACCAGGTCCATTATATTCCTCCTAAGTTACCGAAATCAGGAGTCCATTTGAAGAGACAAAATAACTTGATGGCAATTCATTATCCCCTGATATTTGAAGCAACAAAAAAATCTAAAAGGAGGAACAGTTTTGCATTGTCTCATGAGGGCAAAATAGATAGCTTTTGAAAAATTTCTCAACTAATTTTCATGCTTGCTCTCCCGAATGGTTTAGGAGCAGGGCATTCAGCCTTCATAAATAGTAGATCTCCATGCTGCATAAAGCTTGCAGTGAATGAAATCCACTGAAAGATCCATCCATCCAGTTGAACTGATGATAAATATATCTTCTCATGATGATGAATATGCTTATGCTAGCAGTTTCAATGATGCCCTGAGTAGTGACTTCAATTTGATATTTGTTCTATGCGGCTGGGTTTTTGTTGTCATTTATTGTTGCAGATACATTTATTTTAACATTTCATTGCTTCTGGAAGAAAAGTCATTTGCAGTGCAAAGAACGTATTCTCTTGTGATCTAGCTTTTTTGGCTTGGACAAAATGTGGGACAGAAACCAACAGTCTCTTTGCAGCCTTTTCTTCAGAACTGATGCTAATAACAAAACAGAAATCATTATTCAGGACTCACTAGGTCCACGTACCTCTCCTTATTCCATCCTCACGCAGCTGTCATTTTAGATGACTTGATGATGTCGGTCAGATTTGCACGTCTGTGCTGCCCTTTAATTTTACAATGCGACAGCACCCTCTTCTGGCTGTTGCCTGTTGGTTCGAAACAGCTGATCAGGCAGCAAAATCAATGTCAGGCAGCAGCACCAGCTCTTTGTCACAGGATCCTCAGCGCTTTGCAAAGGAAAGAATAAAAGCGAGGGCAGGAGAAGTTAGCAGACCTGGCAAAAGGGAGAACAAAAGGGTATCTGATGTGCAATACTGCCGTCCTGGTGTACCTGCAATAAGTATTAATACTGTAACGACTGAGAAAGCTGCCTCACTTCAGGTATGTAGGTTTCTATCTCAAATCCAATGTATTTCTTGCTCTTAAATTAACAATATCTGTCCTTCCACTTCATTTTCTCTGTTTTCTTTTATTTATTTATTTATTTATTCTTTTTTCCTTCTGATAATCAGCGACTATGCAACCTTTATTTTTATCAAATTTGTGGCTTCTAAGATTTCTGTCCATGAAGCGATATTTGAAAAAAAACTGCAAAGGTGATTAATATTTTCATTTCATGGGTTATTATGGAACAAATCAACATAATTTTAGGTAAGGACTGACTCATGATATTTTTTGTGAATAGGATTATTAAACTGTGAAGTAAATATTTAATCAGTAGACAATCCACAATGTTATTCCATGAATTGCACTACTCAGTTATGTTTGGTGTGGAGACTGACATTTTGTTTCCATCTTGAACCATGCATTGTATTTCACTCAGCTTTTGCTTTATATATTAAAGAATCCTCTATTACGAAGTGTCTTCTGCCTTATAGGTTTTTACATAGTATTTCTTGGATGAAACAAGCAAATGGATATTTGTAACAACTTTCTAACCTGGAAATTTGTTTGCAGTTAGATTTGAAATTATGTAGATCCCAGGACAAAGACTATTTCTTTCTGGTTGTTTTCTCATTGCAGAGTATGCTGGGAAACTTTTGAAAGAAGTGTTATCCAACTGTAGCACTGGATATTTAAATACTACTAAACATGTATTTTTACTTTTATTTGCAATGAGAGATAGATAAGAAACCATTCTTGCTTTAGCAAGTGCTGTTTAATTTAATTTATTAAAAGAAAGTGTGAGATTGTAATCTCATAAAGATCATTTCTAAACTGACCTTAGAATTAAAACAGTTTAAATGTTTGCCTCCAGACCTGGAAGAAGAAGAAAATTCAGGTCTGATCTACTCTTAGTCTGTTTTTTGTTGTCATTGAAAGTTTTATTTGCTAAGCTATAAACCTTTGAGAGATTAAGATGTCACACTACTGTTTTTTTTTCCTTTTTTTCCTTTTTTCTTTTTTTTTTTTTTTTTTCTTTCTTTCTGGTGTTGAAATCATTCCTGTGTTTTACAAGCACGTGTCTGTAATTACTCCAACTTTATGATTTATGAACACTCTTTTCATCTTAGCTGTGCACACAATTGTTCAAATTTCCTCTTTTTGAGCTTTCTGTATATGCTAGGTTCAAAGTCTCCATGCAAAGTCCAAAATAGCCCTTCAGATATGTGTATGCCAAGGAATGAGGAGGAGTTCCCTTAAATTTTATTTTTCTTTCATTGCTTAAATGTGTGATATAAGTGGAACTAAAGCTGACTTTTAACTGTGAGCAAACAGCCAAGGAACTATACTGGACTCCCATTCTGACAGTGATGCTGAAACTTACATCACACCATTGGCATCTGTGTTGCTGTTTCCATTTCCACTGAGTAATTGCTGGAATGCTAGGCCTGGCAACGCCGCATCTGTCTCACAATGAGGCTCAGGGATTGCTCGCTGGGGTACAAAGGAGGTCAGAAGGCATGGTACTTCTTCAACTGAGCAAATAGCTTGCTCCTTTCTTTCCTTCCATACTTTTTAATTTATTATTTTTAATATTCTACTTGCTTTGCACTGGGAGTTCCATGACACACCAATCTCCAAAGCTTGTATGAAACTGTTGAGAACTATGACTAGATTCTCTGAAAACTGTACTGTGCCAGTTTTCTCTACTTATGAGTGTCCAAAATTCCATGTGACTCAAAGCCTGGCCTACCTCAAAGAGCTGCTTTTCAGACAAAAACACTAAGTTTTTAAAATCACAGAATCCTGTAAACTACATCATTTCTACAGCAAGTGTCATCTGGATGTTATTTGTAGCATTATTTTTCCCCTTAATAGCAAAAATGGGAATGAGGATCGAAGACTATACAATTTTTTGTTTTCTATTCTTTCTGAATAAGCAGAAAAACAGACACAAGGTTCTGTATTATAGCTGAATTCCCTGCTGTCATCTGTAACTCAAAGAATGTGCTCCCCTCCAGAAAGTCAAAGTAGACAAACAGATATTTAGTAGAGGCTGGAGCTGGCTTGGGGGCTGCTTGCTATCACTTTTGCCATAGAAACATCCAGTTCTTGAAAGCAGAGTGTTTCCTTGTCTTGGGATGAAGCAAAGCACTTCCCAGAAATGAAATGTCTCTGATTAATGTTGCCCCTGGACAAGAAGTGACTGTTAAAAAAACAAGTTTAGTTGGTTTTGCTACCCATTAAATGCTAGTATGTTGTAGGCAGTTAACACTGATAGGTCTGTGAAACAGCTATAATAAAATCTAACGAACACCCACAAAATGTTTTAATTTGGCTTCATTTCCTTTGAAGGATTAGAAGAATAAGAAGATGCTTTGTTTCCCAGGAAACCTGGGTTAAAGGGTAATAACATTATACACCAAATTGAAAAATACTAAGAAAAAACAGCTTATCGAAATTATTGCTCAAGATTTATTTGGAAGGAATTTTTCTGCTATGTGTGATGTCTGAGATCATTTTGAGATAATCTAGTTTACTGAGTCAGCTAGAAGCGAGATGCTCTCCCTGAAGTTCAATGTATTTTGTTACTGCCCATTTGCTCTTTCATACATGCCCCTTAGCGTCTCCCTCTGTGTTGTCTTTTGAGACGTATTGTGTTGAAGCAGTAAATATTTTTCACTGACCTGGAAGTGGACAATCTGAACATGTTTTTTTTTTTTTTAATTATTATTATTATTTTTATTTTGTTCTTTTGTTTTCCTGTTATCTTTACTTCTATGTGGCATGTTGAAAAAATAATTGTGCCTAAGGTTCCTTCCACTGCTAATAAGAATGCCCTGTTCAGCCTGAACCCTATCACTCCATAAGCAAGAAGTGTGCTGCTTTTCACTTTGAAACTAAAATTATGTAGAAATAAGTGACCTTACTGTATGCATTGCTAGGAGAAAGAA